GAAAAACTGAACGTGTTGTCGGCTAAAGGCACAGATGTGGATCAAACCAGCAGCAAGGAGTGCGGCGCACTCAGCAAGGTAGGGGGACATCTCAGTCCCAGACTCCAGAAGGATGGAGGGGAGAGCACCACAGCTGAAAGCAAGGGTGTTGTTGTGAGGGTCCACCCAAGCAGCTGCCCAGCCGGCTCTGGGTGCCTCATGTGGGCCTGCCGGGAAGAAAGATCCGTCGGAAAAGCAACACAGATGCCCAAAGGGCACACTTTGGCGCAGCTCTGCGATCCATGGATCTGTCGCTTCAGCAAATCGATGGAGCTTGGGGCAGAGCATGGTGGCTTCATCGAGGGAAAGAAGCTCGGCCGGGGCACATAGAAGGGTCAGGAGTTGACCAATGCTGAAGCCCAATGGTGTGGTGCCGATCCGAAGGGGGCAATGTGCATCAGGGGCTACCCGAACTGTGGGCACCCGAAAAGCCCATGTCGTCGGTAGTGTGGTGCGGTATTGGTCATGCTCGTCGTGAGAGCCTGGCGAAAGCAGATCTGCAAGCTGCAAGACTTGGGGGCCTTCCGCAGTGTCGGGCGATCCTTCATCAGCTGCACAGAAATGTTCAAGAAGGACCTCGAGCAAAGTGGAGGCCTCAAACAGAGCTCTCCCGTGATCTTGCCAACAGGATTCATACAGCAAGGTGTGGAGATCACCGAGGCACCACGAGGCGTCTCCGTCAGAGAGGCATGGTCTGGGTGTCATAGCCCGACAAGGTGTCGGTACTGGGCGGCTGCTGCATAAGGTCGTGGCATCGCGGGGATACTCTCCTTCGCTCTCCTTCATCATCCGAACACGGATCTGGGAACAGGCTTTGGCAGCTGGCGGAGGAGCACCTAGGGTGGTATCGTGGGTGTCCTGACCTGTTGTCGGCAGAGAGTTCGAGGTGTGTGGCAGTTGCATGGCAGTGCTGGGGCCAACCGCTATCGCTCCCACTAGCCAAAACAAGATCCCACGCGGCTGGTAAGGTAAACAACAGTGCGGACTGCGCTTGGTGGAGTCAGCCTGCCTGGCAACCTTTACACGAGAATCTGCATTGGGACCAACACGTGTCCGCCCTTGAACTGAAGGGACCTGCGTGGCCGGCGCACATGTCATGGTATCCAGGAGGACAGGGGTGACGTCGGGATTGCTTGGATGGCAAGCATAGTGACAGAAATCCCTAAGCCACATGACTACTCGACTGGCACTGTCCACGCATACACGTGGGAGTATGTGCACAAGGGCCTGGCCCAAAACCCCAGCAAGGGATCCATGATGTCTGACATTGGTATCGGCATCACCATTGCCAAGGTGGGCGTCGCTCGCTTCAGCAGGGGGACCGGGGTTGGGGCCCTCGTCTGCCTCAGGACTCGAGGCACCTGTCGGGCCATCAAGAAAGAGTGAACCACCTTGCAAGACATCAACAGTGAGTGGAACCTCTGGTGCAGGCCGGTATATTGCAACCACAACTTGGCCGTTTCGCACGGGGTGATCGCCAGGCCCCGGAGCTCTATCGAGAAGCACAAGCTCCCAGAACAAAGGGGCAAATTCGCCAAGCTCGGCTGCAAGGGCATCAAAATCGACTCTGCCGGTGGTTGGGACATAATGCCAGCCCTGCATGATAGGTCGACAATCGACCAAAATAGCGGACATCCCTAATGCGGCAACGGCTTCCAGTCGTGGTCCAACAGCCAAGACGGTTTGGCATGGGTGTCCGTAGATAGCACAGTCAAACTGTTGGGGAATAGCTGGTGTGACGTGAACCCGGCTGGGGTCAAGCCCACAGGTTCGAGCTATCTCCTGCCTATATGTCCAAGGCGTGGCTGGGTCGGCAGTGTACAGAGCATAACCCCCGGCGTGTGTGCAGCAATAACACAGCCCGAGGTTGGGCATCGGAAGTGCCTCAGAGGAGCTCCACGTTTCTGACTGCAAGAGGAGGTCGCTTAAGGCGTATGTCACTGGACAAGGTTCATCGGTGGGAACAACATGTATGCATTGACCCGGGAACACCCTAAGCTCACGATCGCCCTCTATGCGCTCATTGGTGAAAGCGCACCACACTGTGACTGGTGCTCGCTCTGGGATGCCTGCTAGCCAGAGTGCGGTGGCTCGGCTCACATATATCGGGGTCTGGACGGCAAACAAGCGATTATCAACCTGGCGTGTATCCAGTATGATGACTGATGCCATAGGGTTCCATACAGGCAATGCAAGCACGAGGCCCCAGAGCGGCGAAGGCTGAGGAGCCACTGCATGCAGGACCGGAAACCTTTGCTGCATTTGGGCGCTGCGCGCAGCTTGCACTTCCTGCAGTGCATGATCAACATCAGCTGGCATCATGAGATTAACAACCACTCTTTCTGGTGTATACCCTGGAACCAGTACTGCGAAAGAGACTGGAGTGGGCACAAGTGGAAAGTCCAGCAGGGAGGCAGGAAAAGCAGGCATCAGCAAAAGCCTCTCCTCCAGCTCCTCAGCAGGCGTGTAGCGCCATGGTAAGCCCATCGCATCGGCCAGGTCCCGCAAATCTTGAATGATGCTGGACGGGAGGTCTCCGTCGGATCCCGGTTCCTGGAGAAGCTTGCATTGGCACACACCTGGTGGATGCAGGAGGAGCTGATTCGACAGGTTGGCTGGAATTGAGCCCTTGACAAAAGACTCAGAAGCAGCCTCGGTAGGTGCCGCCCGGTACCGCGGTGAGCGGGACTGGCTGCGGTCTAGGCAGCGGCGGCTGGTTGCAGTGCTTGGCAGATTAACTGGAATAGGTGGTGGCGGTCCTCGGGGTGCATCGTCTGGAGGAGGTGGCTCGCCATCAGAATCGGAGTCAGTGTCCTCGGAAACAGGAGAAGACTCGTCGCTGTCTTCGACATCTGATGAGAAATCCTGGACATAACCGAAGACAACTACATCACCTTCACGTAATCGAAGGCATCCATTACGCCTAGGTCGCGGGCTGCAGGCAACCTTGAAGGCGGGAGGGGGCCTAAGATTAAGGTACCGAATCAGGAAATCAACCTCAACTTGTCGGTCTGCCAAGTACACATGCATTATGACCTCATTAACAGGCCTCCCGTCGAGAAAGACGAGGATTCCCGTGCGCTCTGGCGTTGGCCGCAACGGAAACACGGCAATGACATCGCGGCATCTGTGGCCATGCAGATCGACATCAGCGAGTTCTTGACCTGCAGGGGCGCAGAAGATTGCAGAGTCTGCTTGTCTATCGACCAGGTCAGCAACAAGTGTTCGGAGGTCGTGACCGGCAGCGCGCTGCTGTGTAATCAAGGTGGTGCGGTCATGGTAAGTGACAAGCAGTGGCCGGGCACTGGGCGGTGCAATTAGATTCGGCTGTTCGGGCCACATAAGCGGCCTCATCAGCCTGATCTGTAATGTGCAACACCACTCTGGGCTCTGGCTCACAGGCCTGAACTGTACTACACCACCTTGGATGGACAGACACGTTGCGCCGGGTCGAAAGGGTTCCGAATGCCCGAAGACATAGGCATCCCAGTTCTCTAAGTTATGCCTTGAGGCCTCTCTGACACAATCTCCATGCCGAAACTGCTGGTGTGCATACCCCGCATAAACTGGCCCTCCTAGCGGCCGCATGTCATACACGACTATGCTCATCCCTGATGAAGCGACCCAGTAAGGTGCAGCAATCATAGACGCATGGTCAACACAAAGCTGCGGGATGGTGGGCGCAACGAACTGTGGGAGTGCTGGGGTAAAGTTTGCAACATGGTCGTGCACAACCGACAGAAAGGTCTGGTACGTGCAGGGGAAGTGCCGTCGGAAGGACACAACTTGGGAGTGGTAGTGCGGCCGTAGAATCTGACAAGTCATTAGAATATCAGGCTCGCCCTCATCCTCCGACTCGCCTCCTGCCTGAGCGATAGCAGGCAGATCCGGGTTGTCCTGCAAGGGTCTGGCAACCTCAGCATTAAGGCTCTGCACCAGGAGACTATCCCTTGGGACGACAGCCTCAGAGGAAGGCCAGGTAGGGCCCGGGGGGGGCTCTTGGAGTGGTTCAGGGAACATCCTTGCCGCGTGGATGAGTATGTTGACCGCCTCACCCCATGGTTCGGGGGCAGCCCCAACACAGCTCGGGAGGCTGTGGAAAGCCCAGAACCACAAGTATCTACTCAAGAAACCCAGACGGTGCTTCTGTGAGTGTCGTTGGTGCCGGCCGGGGCCGGCCAGGCAACGGTGTTTCCTCCTGGGCGAAAAATCAAACGCCAAAACCGCACACGGAGGAATGCCAGTGCAGGGCAGAAGCAGCAACCTTCCCAAAGGACTCTTCACAAACCCGGCAGCACGGCAAAGTGATTGCACCAACATCAAGGTCAAGATGAGGAGCAGGTGCAGAAAAAAGGGGCAGGTGAGCTCTGCGAGCCAGCTCACCATCCACGTAGAAAGCAGTGCAAGGTCGAGCCCGGTCATCGCCCCAGAACCACCGATGCGATTGTTAGGTACTCGGGTCGACACATGCCAGGCAAGATCAAAGGGCCTGGAACTGGGCAGGGCCTCGCTCTTCGGCAGAGGCTTGCAAATGGCGTGGCCGGCACAAAATCGGAGGTGCATCGGCCAATGGCGGGGACCTAACACAACACCGCCGTCAACATGACAACAGTGTCTGTAGGTCGAGGAAGACGGCAGCGAGGACAGACTGTGGGCAGGAGAAGGGGACTTCGGTTGGCAAAGAGCGTGGGCCCAAAACTCAGCGGAGCTGACACGGCCTACTCTGAACTGTACACCTACCCAGGCTTTATACAAGAAGCTCGCGGCTACAGGCTCATCACAGTATGCCGTATGGTGTTCGTGCGGAGCTCTCAACTCGCTCAACCCGAAGTGCAACTGGCACGTTGGACGTAGGGTGGGTGACCCAAAACCCACAGCCTTCGTCACAACGGCCGGGCACACCAGGGAACAGGGCAGGAGCTCCGCACAGACAACGGCCAGCGCCTGTGCAGAATCGCTGGTCATGTGGTAGGTGCTGGTCCGGCCGGACCTCGGGCTCGCTGCAGATGTGCGATGGCTTCCGCAGAGAGCTCCTCCGCGAGATCGGCGTCGTCCTCGTCGTCGTCCAGGAACCCAACGGCCGCATCGAACCCTGTCGGTTCGGCCGCATTGGGTATCGGGCGTGACAGCCCGAAAGGCGCCAGCGCTCGCCTTTTCTGTAACTTGGCCTCGACACGGCTGGCTGACGACTTGTCGGTAGACTCGGACCGGATCGGCATCCTGGCCTTGGGGCCGACAGGCGAGGTTCCCATGTCCTGGGCGACAGTGCTCGCAACATCCGCCCCAGACTTGCCAATTGAGGGTCCCCGCTCCACTCGGGGAGATGTCATAGCATAGGGGTCGGATCTTGCAGCATGTACAGGCGAGCTTTCGTTGTACATGGGCCGGTATTGCGACGGGGCCGGAGAAGCAGCGGCGGGCTCCGGAGCCGGCAGTGCTGCCGTAGTCTTCGGCGAACCAGTCGTGGTAGACCTGACTTCGCGCTCTCGTAAGGCTCGCCTCAGCAGCCCATCGTCCATTTCCGCCTTGTCCGCTTCCCAATCGCGGACCATCTGAGCCCATTCGTCCTCGTCCGCGGCACCTTCTTCGGTCTCCATATCCTTCCCCGTCTCCTCCTCTAGAGCCACTTGGCGTAGGATCAGCCGAGCTTGACGTTGGACCTCCTGGGCCTCTTGTATCTCCTTGGTAAAGTGCTGCATTGCGCGCAAATACCTGTCTTTCTCGCGTAGGTACGCGTTCTTCGAGTCCACAAGGTAGGCCTTCCATTGCTGCTCCGCTTTTTGCCGATCTTTGCTTAGCTTCGTCAAGCGGTTTTCCGCTTTGCGAGCCCCATTCAGAGCCTTCTGGACCGACGGTACCAACTGGCCATCCTCGTCGTCGTCCAGCAAAACAGCATCGGGGCGTGGCCCAGCACGAGGCTGGGGGTCCTGCTTCGGTGGCTTGGCATCGAAAGCTGGGAAGGCTGTCTTGGCTTCCACAGGCTTGTTCTTGCCTCCGCCTTTCTTCCAGGGCGGTTGGCCCCCAGCCTTGGGGGAATAGGCTCCCTTCCACAGATGCTTGTGCCAAGCAGCTGCTTGCGAACCATACCCACCATACTCGTCCCATTTCTCTCCGCGTCCCATGAGCACCCGCAGCGAGGTGCGGAAAGCAGGAGTTTGCCAACGACCTGAGAGCGGCTTGACTGGGTCTCTGCCCTTGGTGCAGTCGCTGTCTCACCAAGGATCGGCGTCGTCTGGCACGTCTGTGCCAAGCAGGCGAAGGTAGGCGAGGCGCAATGGCTCGCAAACACTACGCACTACTGTGCTGGGGCTCTGGCGATCTCACGCTGGTGTGAGTGTTCCTGAGCCCTGATCTCTAAACAAGTATACTTTCCATACAGCCATGCAAAACCCTTCTCTCATTACTCAGCATATCACACAACCCTGAAAGAAACTACTCCACTGTTCAGGGCATGTCTAATAATCGAGCCATCTCAAGTTCAGTGCTTGGGGCTCTTCTGTTTGGCGACCTGCAACCAACCCATATCAGCCATATCAAATCCTACAAACAACCTTATGAAACCTACCACAAACACCCGATGATGCCCTTACTAATACCTGTCTAAATCCCTCTATACGGGAGTGTCCGAAAAAACAGGGGACCCTAACATAGCACCCTAAATTGTAGGCTCCTCTTCTAAGGACCCCAAAACAAGGAACCCCCTCATTTTCGGAAACTCCCAAATCCCTCTATACAGCCCTTCTGAACCCCGAAGGCGCCCCCTCGGGTTCGAGGCTTTTCTTTTGGCCCCCTAAACCCTAAATCGTGAATTTACCCCAACCCCTGCACCCTAAACCCTGAACCCTCAACCCTGAATTTACCCCCAAACCCTACACCCTAAACCCAAAACCCTGAAACTTTTGGGGGCTCCTGGAAGCCACCGAGCCGGCGTCGGAAGGCGCCGCCTGCGAGGCCACGAGGTCGTAGCTGCCCAGGGATGAGCTGAGGGCGGAGAGACCGCTGGGCACCACCTGGGAGTTTCCGAAAATCGGGGACCCTACCCAAAGGCCCCAAAGTAGTTCCTTTTGAAGGTTCATATTTAACACTTTATAAGGTAACCCCCAAAAGGAACTACTTTGGGGCCTTAGGGTAATGTAGTACCCTTAATAGTAGGATCCTTATTATAAGGACCCCAAAATAAGGTAAGGTACCCCTAATTTTGACCGCTGGGCACCATCTGGGTGGTTGTCAAAGTTATGGTCCCTTTTTGGGTCCTTGCTACAATAAGACACCTATCATTTAGGGTACCCAAAAAGAGACCTTAGTTTTGACAGCTACCCACCCGGGCTCCTCTTGCTAGTGACCCCAAAATGCGGCCCTTAAGGGGCGTTTAGAAGGGTCTCTTGGTCTTTCTGAGCAAAAGAGGTCACTTGCAAGGCATTTGGCAGTTTCCGAAAACTAGGGGTACCTTATTTTGGGGTCCTTGAAATAAGGATCCTACTATTAGGGTACTATATTAGGATCCCCTATTTGCGGAAACTCCCATCTGATAGGGATTTCAAGTTTTAGTTTTGTTCGGCTTTGCGGGTTAAGAATTATAAGGCCCTTCGGGGGTTCTCTTGGGGGTCCTCCAGGGTGCTGCTTGGGGTTTAGGGTAGGGTTTAGGGTTTAGGGGTTTAGGGTTTAGGGTTTAGGAACTACAGAATTGGTCTTACAAGGGTGTAAAGGGATGTTGTACCCCGGTTCTTGCAGGTTCTTTTTCCGGATTCCCAGCAAGCCCCGCAAACTAAGGGCAACCCTCCTCCTGTTCTTCAACCCCAGAAGGAAAGGACATGAGGGTACTCCTGGACGACCTTGCATGAAGGAGCTGCAGGAATCAGTAGGGTGTTATGAAGGGCTCCAATAAGGGTTGCACCATTTTGCAGGTGACCTAGCTTAAGCCAGCAACCCTGCTAAAGCTGCATCAGAAACAAGAAAACGCTATTCCTTCTGGCAGTGGGGTTTAGGGTTTAGGGTTTAGAACAAGAGCCCAGCCGCGTGAAAGGAGTGGGACAAGGAGCCGGATTGCTCGGAGACCACATTCCTAGGTGCCCAGGAAACCGTTTAATACTTACTATAGATGTACGCCGTTTCCTAGTCTTAAGAAGGAAGCCCCAGCGCTAACCCTCCGAGAGCTACAGACTAAATCTCTAAATCTACAACCCTGAACCCAACAGCTCTCAATCCTAAAACGAGTGCAGGGCCACTTACTACATGTCCCAGGCTCACCACCTCGAAGCTGCGGTTGCTTTGAGATGCCCGGGAGACCAAATCCCAGCTGTCGCTCTCGCAAAGCGACCACAGCTCGAGCTCCGACCCTTCGAGGCTCGAGCCCTCTCCTTAGAACAAAAAGGGGCCTTTACCCATAGTAGTAGGGTTTAGGGTTTAGGGATAGGCTCCATTGTAGTTCCTTTTTGCGGTATATATTTAGGATCCTTTGAGGGGACGATGGGCAACGTGGCGTTTACGTTATGTGAAGTTTTAAATGGTACAATCAACTTCAGGCAACTTCCAGACAGTTGTTACATCCGCAAAAAACCAAAAGGCTTAAACCACCTCATCAAAATCCTAGCAACCACTCTGCAAAGCCCTGTGACAACCCTAAACCTAACGCCCTAAGCCCCGAGAACCCCAGAAACCCCAAACCCTTAGTTACAACCCTAAACCTAAAGCCCTAGACACTATAGATCCCTTTAGAACCCTTATAGATCCCCTATATAATCGATTTGAACGGAAAGCCCTCAAACCCTAAAACCCTAAACCCCTGAACCCTAATTGGCCCTAAATCCCGCCCCTCCTTGCTATTTTTGCATCAGGACTTGTGCAATCGCCTGAATACATGGACCTTCTAACTCTAGACCACTCTAGACCCCCTTAAAGGAACCTCTATAGATCCCTAAAAAAGCCCTAAACCCTAAACCCCAAAACCCTAAACCCTCTACAGAAGCCCTAAACCCCATGGATCCCTTTAAAGAAGCCCTATAAAACCCTATAGATCCTAAACCCTACCGATCCCTTTAAAGGAGCCCTACAACATCCCTAGCTCCAGCGCTGAAGCGAAGGCTCCAAGCACCTCCCAGCCCTCGAGGATGGAGCTGAGCTCTGAAGTTGGCGCCTCCGTGGGCCCAACGGCTCAAAAAAATGCTATAAGGGTTCCTTAAAGGGATCTATAAGGGTTCCTCAAAGGGATCTATAAGGGTTCCTTAAAGGGATCTATAAGGGTTCCTTAAAGGGATCTATAAGGGCTCCTTAAAGGGATCTATAAGGGTTCCTTAAAGGGATCTATAAGGGTTCCTCAAAGGGATCTATAAGGGTTCCTTAAAGGGATCCATAAGGGTTCCTTAAAGGGATCTATAAGGGCTCCTTAAAGGGATCTATAAGGGTTCCTTAAAGGGATCTATAAGGGCTCCTTAAAGGGATCTATAAGGGTTCCTTAAAGGGATCCATAAGGGTTCCTTAAAGGGATCTATAAGGGCTCCTTAAAGGGATCTATAAGGGTTCCTTAAAGGGATCTATAAGGGTTCCTTAAAGGCTTCCTTAAAGGGATCTATAAGGGTTCCTTAAAGGGATCTATAAGGGTTCCTTAAAGGGATCTATAAGGGTTCTATAAAGGGTTTAGGGTTTAGAGTTTCCAATAACCTGAATAGTGTTTGGGGTTTAGGGTTTAGGGTCTAAGGGGTTTAGGGTTTGAGGCGTTTAGGGTTTAGGGTGTCGGGTTTAAGGGATAGTAATATACCATACCACTGAAAATTAAGGAATATGCCCTGGAAGCGTTCCCTAAAGGGATCGATAAGGGTTCGATAAGGGAAGTAAGGGAATATACCGTAAATGAAGGTAGGATTCCTAATATGCTTTAAGGTGCATTCCTAGCCTCTGTGCTCTTCAAGAGAGGTCGTTATTTGGGTTTGGGGCCTCAAGGTTTTAGGGTTTAGGATTTAGGGTTTAGGGGTTAGGGTTTAGGGTTTAGGGCTTCAGGGTTAGGGCCTTGGGATTTAGGGCTAAAGGGTTGTAAGGTTTAGGGTGTAGGTCGGTCTTAATATCATGCTTCGTAGGATCGCCAACGGTCCTAGTCGTGTTCATGACTCTTCTTTCTCCTAACTATTGCTGATCTTGTCTATGGCTACTGTGATTGCTATTCGCGCTTTTCGAACTAGGCTAGAATATGGTTTATGGGGGGTTTGCACTTCTTTTGAAGCACCAGGGTCCAAGTGTAAGGGCGTCTGCTCTAGAGGCGGCCATGCCTGGCAGCGATGTCGTGTACAGCCTGTTTCCTAGGATACCCAGTAACCTAAGAATAAAAAGGCCTCTCTTTCTGGTATTGGGTAACTTTATAAGGAACCTAGGACTACAAAAAGGGAATAAGGGTACTACTGGGCATCCTAGTTTCTGATGTATAACATAAACCCTACAACCTAATAGTAGCCAGGGCAGCAGAGCACTGAACATCTAGCTTGGCCCCTTAAAGCCTCTGAACAAAAATTCGTAAGTAGGGTCCTATTAAGCCCAATAAGGGAAAACATAACATGTCCCAAAGGCCTACCTAGACATGTATGGCAACTTCCTGCAAGGCCTCCCCTGGTATGCCATAGATTATACTGAACATGTTCCCATCAATCGTCATCTTCCTGACGACTACACCGTAAACCACGAACCCTCTACCCAAGATAAATCAGAGATCGAACGCCAGCGGCCTCTTTTTGGAGGAGGGTAAACTCTAAACACTATACCCTAAAAACCAAACCCTAACCCCCCATACCCGAAACCCCTGAACCCCTAAATCCCTGAACCCCCAAACCCCGAAACCCTAAGCCCTAAACCCCTAGACCCCTAAATCCCTAAACCCTAAGCCCTAAACCCCTGAACCCCTAGACCCCTAAATCCCTAAATCAGATTCCAAGCCAGCGGGGCCTCTTTCTGGAGGAGGGGCCGCTCGGGCAGCCTTGCCAACTTCTGCCGGGTGAGGCCTTTGACCTCGCAGCTCAGAGACTCCAATATCCCTTAATTAAGGAATATACCTTAAATCATATTAGGGATCCTACCATAGATTAAGGTATATTCCTTAATTAAGGAATATACCTTAAACTATAGTAGGATCCCTAATATGATTTAAGGTATATTCCTTAATTAAGGGATATTGGAGTCTCTGGAAAGCTCAAAGGTGTTTGGGCGGTTTAGGGTTTACCTAGTGTCTCCATTGTAGTTCCTTTTTTGGGGCAACCAAAATCTCTATTATAGGATCCTAACCATAAAACTGATTAACCAAAAAAAGGAACTACAATGGAGACTATAGGTAGGGTTTAGGGTCAAAGAGCAAAAGGAGGGACCCCTACCTTATAATGGGCTATACAATGGGCTATATAATGGCTATATTCAGGTTCTATCCCAAGGGATCCTTATTAAGGGTCCCTCCTTATACCCTTTGATTCGGGAGGTCTAGGGTTCAGGGTCTAGGGTTTAGGGCTTGGGGTGTGGGGTTTAGGGTTTTGTTGCGTTGGGTATAGGGTTTAGGGTTTAGGGATAATCAGGCGCTTTAGGGGTCTAGGGTGTGGGATTTGTAGGGTTTAGGCTTAGGGCTTTTCAGACTGATAGGGCTTCTCGGGTTTGCGGTTTAGGGATAATAGCCTCTAGGGGCCCCCTGCACAAGCACCCTTTCATAGATATAGCGTTTCCGTCGTGGCCGGTGGCTTCCCTAAACCCCCGAACCTCAAACCCTAAACCCTAAAACCCAGAAGCCCCAAACCTAAACCCTGAAACCTGCATCCTCGATTCCTGAGAAGGGGCCTCTTCCCCCTTCTCCAGGAGCTGCAAGAGTTCCACCGGGGAATCCTTGGTGACGTCGTAGGCCAGGAACCTGATTTCGGGCTCAGGACTCATGGCCCTGAGGGCTTACAGAAGTGCCTTCAGGACTTCGTTCTTATGGTTTAGGATGGTCCGGGGATTTAAAGAAAAGCTCACATTTTCAGGGGTCTGGTACTGTTGCTTCCTACGTTAGGCCAGGAACTCGTCCGCCGTGTAGTGGCCGGGAACCGGCTTGTACACCGCAGGTGGCGGGTGGTCGTAAGGCGCGACGAAGCCCTCGTAGCCGTGGATGCACGCCTTCTCCATGGGAATGTTCTTGTACAGCGTCGCTTTGAGTCCCGAAGAATGCTGCTCGCTGTTGAAAGCCCACTCACCTACTTAAGACGAGAACCATATATGACACGGGAGGTTCAAAAGAACTTGAATTTAGCCTTCTCATGACAACAAACCAGATGCTGGCTATGTCAATTATATTGCCTAGCTGCCCCACTTGTTAGTTAAGGGTGCTGTCGCTGAGCCCATCGTCGCATCGTTCTCCACAATCACAATGTTCACGGTGCAAGTGTATGCCTGAACCCCCCGAAAAGTAGGTAAAGTAATGGCCCCAAAGCCTATAAAGGGCTATTATTCTGCATACTCTTGGGGTAATGGCCCCAAAGCCTATAAACGGCTATTATTCTGCATACTCTTGGGGTCCAGGTACATTCACACTCTCGACGACTCCCACAGGGAAGAACTGCTCCCGCTTCTTCACAAACGCCTCCGTGCCAGGTGTGTCCTCTGCTTTCAGCTTGCCTCCACCATTCCTGTGTTCCCGAAGGCTCCGTGTACCCATATGGGGGTTTCCGAAAATAGGGGACCCAAATATAGTACCCTAAATAGTAGGATCCTTATAATAAGGACCCCTAAATACGGTACCCCTATTTTCGGAAACTCCCATATAGTATATGCTTAGGCCTTAAAGTACCTATATAGGGACTACTTTGGGGCTTAAGTATCTACTATAACGCTACATGGAGCCTTTGGGGTTGTAGTCTCAGATGCTTAAACGTCACTTCTGAACAGTACCCTCCAAAATACGTCTACCCCGATAAAGAGCACTAAGTTAAGAGTGCAAAAGGACACTAACTATTATCCCAAATCGCAGCAGAGATTCTGGGAATTGACAAATCGCTCCCAAACCACCTTGCCGGTCTTCTTGTCCTCCTCCTCCTCTGGTGGCTGCTGTCGCCTATAAACGAAGCCGTCAAGCATGGGGTCAAACCATCGCCAAGGATACTCCACCTCGGAGTTTCCGAAAATAGGGAACCCTAATATTGTGCCCTGCCTAAATAGTAGGACCTTTCCTATAGTCGCCATTGTAGCTCCTTTTCGTGGTTAACCAAACTCTCTATTATAGGATCCTAACCATAAACCATAAAACTGGTTAACCAAAAACAGGAACTACAATGGAGACTATGGGTTACTTTTAACGACCCCAAAATCAGGTACTCCGAATTTTCAGAAACTCCCACCTCGTGACCATAGTTGAAGATCTGCAGGTCCCTGTTGATGCACAGATGCCCGTTCGAGTACACCTTTAGGGTTTAGGATTTAGGGTTTAAGGTTTAGGGTTTAGGGTTTAGGGTTTAGGGTGCAGGGCTTTCAGACGAGTTTTCATGAACCTGATCTTTTCCAAGGGGAAAAGGAGGGACCCTTAATAAGGACCCCTAGGCATATACCCTTAATATAGCTACTATATAACCATTATATAGCCCATTATAGGGTAGGGGTCCCCATTAAGGGTCCCTCCTTTTCCCCTTTGATCTTTATAAGCCTAGAAGAGAATTTCCGAAAATAGGGGACCCTAATATAGTACCCTAAATAGCAGGATCCTTATTATAAGGACCCCAAAATAAGGTAGCCCTAATTTGCGGAAACCCCTATAAGCCCCCTAAACCCTAAACCCTAAACCCTAAACCTTAAACCCTAAACCCTAAACCCTATAAGCCCTAAGCCGAAAGAGGCGCTTCATGAAACGCTCGCCCTCCCCGTGCCTCATCAGGGACGCCATGGAAACCTGGGTGCCCCAGTGTCCCCAAACCCTATAAACCCTAAACCCTAAACCCGTCATAACCGTGCCCTTTTTTCCCAGTATTCATTTTGAATATGTGAACCAATTGAAAAGGGCAAAAGTGTACTCCTGGGGAAGCTAGAAACGGAAGGAGACCACGTCGCGAACCCGGAAGACACCGGGCACACGCCTCAGGGCGTGGCCGCTGCGAAGGGCGGAGTTGGAGTTGGCGATCTCCATGTAGAGCCTCCATCGTGGGGGTTTCCGAAGTTAATTAGGGGTACCTTCTTTGGGGGTTTCCGAAAATAAGGGACCCTAATAAAGTACCCTAAATAGCAGGCTCCTTATTATAAGGGCCCCAGAATAAGGTAGCCCTAATTTTCGGGAACTCCCGTGTGACAATGTGGGTTTAGGGCTTAGGTGTTAAGGGGTTCGGGGATTTAGTTTTTAGGGCTTAGGGTTTTTTGGGAGTTTAGGGTTCAGGGCTTAGCGTTCAGATTTATGGGCTTAGAGTTTGGGGTTTAGGGTTGAGGGATGTTCAGGGGTTAGGGGGTTAAGGCTGCCGTCTCTTTCAGGGACAATGGACGGGTATCCCGATCATGCTCGATGCTTTGTCGCCAAACCCTAGACTAAATAACTACTAGATTAAAATTATAACCCATGCAGCTATAGGGTCGATAAGCTCCTTGACAGAGATGCTGCCAGGATCCCTAAGAAGGGGGGCCCCCCTGTCGTGCCTCACCCCTAAACCCTACCTTAACCTACAAACCCTACTTGTTTGTAGGTCCAAACAAGAAACCCTAGTATGGAATTTATAAGGACCCTACCAAAAAGTAGGTTCTGGTAGGTTAAGGTAAACCCTGCCTTTGCTGCTTGAAATCGACCTTCGGATTCTTAGCGACCTTGAGTTTCTCGAGCTCCCTCTTCTTCTGCTTCTTGCGGGACACGAAGGTGTGCTCCCTCTTGGTCCCCTTCTGCTCCTTCATTCATGTAAAGTGCAGGGTTTCGGGTTTAAGTTTAGGGTTTAGGCTTCATTAGACAGCTTGTCGAGAAGAGGTACCCCCAAACCCAATAATACCAAAGTTGTATGCTCGGGCCGTGACCTCGGCTGGGGGAAGCTGCTCTCAAAGCCTAAATCCAATCCCGAAGCTAAGCCCCACAAAGGCTGCCATGATTAGCAAATATAACATGACTCATGGCAAATAACAGTCATACTACTAAAAGACAGAAGCTACTCATAACCGTAATAACATGAACAATAACAGTCGTAAAGAGATGGAACCACGAGTTGACATCAACAACTAACAGCGGCAGTAATCATAACAAGAAGAAGAAGAATAGTCACATTGACAATAATAACTATAAGATGGCAATCATCGCCAAAAACGACAAACAACAATACTCATAACAGTAAATATATCATTAATGGCAATGACAATAATACTAATTTCAATACTGGTAAACATAATGATCATCACCATAATATGACTCATGGTGATGATAATTACTAAACATGTGTCAAACCATATGTTGCGTCACTATGAAAGTTACAGCAGTAATAACAACATATGTAACTATGTAACTATGCATGTAACTATAACTTTACACATCAGTATGAACATAAAGAAAATGACAATAACAATAGCAATAAGCATAACCATAGTAGTAATAATGAAACCATTTAGAGCAATGGTAGGAAGACCAATACACGGAACATAACAATAACAATGGTGATCATGATAGTAACACCAACAACAGCAGTGATAATCGTAGTAACAATAAAGTTTACATAATAACACTATTACTGGTAGCAGCATATCCGGTAATAACTGTCGTCGCAATAATACGAATAACAATCGTACTGCTGATGGACAAAATCCTGCATGACCCTAAGGACTCTAAACTATGGGAACTATGGTATATTCCTTATAATGGGTAATGCAGGATTTTGTCCATCAGCAGTAGCAATAATGAGGACAAAGCCGGCCTCGCACTCTTCGGCTTCCGACTCCGACTCCTCCTCGCTGCTCTTCGCGCCCTCCGGGGCATCGTAGAAGGCCACGCTGTCCTGGGAATAAGGAAACCATAAGGGCTCCGATTGAATTTAAGCTTCCATATTAAGGAAACCATAAGGGCTCCTTTAAGGGATCTATAAGGGCTCCGTTAAACTTTAAAGGAACCCAGTGTCGTCGAGGCCGCAGTAGCCACAGGCGGGGCAGTGGAAACTGTCGGCATCGAGCTGCGCCTGGGCTCGTGCGAAGGGGCGTAACCCATAGAACGTCCCGTCTTAGTCTTCCTGGACCCTAAGGAACCTACCTTGAAAGGGTTCCCTAATATGATTTCTTTATATAAGTCCTTAAAAAGGTAGGTTACGTGGGGTTAAGGTTATTGAGCCTCAGCCCAATCGCTGTCGTAATGAATCTTGCGTAAGTCATCTTACATCCAGGTTGGAAAAGGAACGCCAATCTTGCTGTGGTCTGCCCCCATACTTGGAGGATCATGGAACTTAGTAAGTATGGTTATAAATACCTTAACTGGGATTATAAGTAGTTCTAAGTATAGCTACCCTAAATTTAACCTTTCTTGCTAAGTGCCATATCCTTTAAGTACGTGGTCGACTCCAAACCCCACCCTGGCCTGGTGCAGCTCAGCGCAGACCTGCTGGCGGCTCTTGCGGCCCTCCCCGGACCGTGAGTACCAACTGTCCCAGAGCGTGTTGATGTGGTGGCCGCTGTCCTGGGTTCTTGGTAGGGAAATTTGATTAATTTACCATAATAATAACATCTATCGTAAATACATTATGGTAACCCCTAAAAGGAATTTTGTTCAATTTATCAATGATAGCAGATCTATCGTCAATATATTATGGTAACCCCTAAGGCCAGTGTCTGCATGCACGTAGTCATCGAAGAGTAGGCACTGCAGCTGCACCAGAACAGCCTCCACGCTGTAAGAGGGACTCCAACCCTCATGCCTTCCAAAGGGTCCACATCTCACTATGGGACATACTTATAGGGTATTTTGGGGGTCTAAGTATATACTATAATGATACTTGGACCCTTTGGGCCTTCTGGAGTCGTTTGGGTCCAGGGGCGGGGGTCTGAGCTCGAGGAGGTCTGTGCAAAGGACATACTTCGCGCGAGTTGGGCTGCTGCCCTGCCAATAGCCGGCCCATGCCAAAGATGTGTTCTGGAGACTCTGGAGGAAATCTCGGAAGACGTTGGCGTGCGGCAGGAAGTTGTAGAGCTCTACTTTGGGGGGCTTCCTGGGGTAGTCCTCGGGCATGAGGAGCACCATGTGGATGCGGAGCCCACTGAAGTGGCCCGAGATGGGGCTCATGGTGACATGCCACTCGTAGATGTTGTCTTCCATTACCCGCACATCAATGCCGGGGATCCCACGTCGACGCAAGTCATCGAAGTCTTTGAGGAGGCGGTACTGCACAAGGACCTTCTCGCGGTTGTGCAACTCGGGCATCTTCGGGCGCAGGCGCGGCTTCTATGCGACAGAATGTGATGGATGCATGTGACAAAATTGAGCTTGGGCCAAGATAGCAGCAAACAGCGAGGAATCTTACTGACTGAAAGATTGCAAAGGCAAGGACTCCGGATATGTAAGGACATGGAGCAGCTATCTTTTCTGCTCCCCTTTGTGCGCCCGCGCGGCGATGCCCCGAATCACGCAAAGCCATCCAGCTGGCGTGCATTCCTGCGGAAAGCGACTCAAGAAAGGCCACACAGAGATGAATTCCTGCGCCCTTACGCCCTTTACCCCCTGATTATGAAACACCGTCAAACCCCAACACCGTGGCGTTCTGGAGCCCTACAAAGACTTAGCTCTCTCCCGTGGTCTCCTATTCCAAAATTCAAGGCACCCAGGTTTAAGCCTTTTTTTTGTAAAGCTCCTTTTCTACAAGGCACCCAGGTTTAGGTTTTCTTTTAAAAGCTCCTTTTCTACAAGGCACCCAGGTTTAGGGTTTAGGGTTTGGCAAACTCCGGGCTTTTTCTGCGCAAGATTGTGCCTCCAGCTCTGTTGGCTACCGGGATTCAGAATGGAGGCCGGGTCCCAACGGCAAAGCTCCTTGGGAGGTCTTTTGGGCTTTACAGCGACCCTTCAAAATCTCCAAGATGTCTTCCGGGTCGAAAGGGGGTCTAAGGGAGCACTGAGCGTGAAAGACCGAACCTTGCCAGTCTCACGCAGTCCATACCCAGACCCCTGAGAGGATCTGGAGAGCAGGTCCCTGCAATAGTTTCCTTGAAGTGGGCGCCGTTACTGGTGGTTTATGAGACCGTGTGGCAAATCGGGGGTTCTACTTTCCAGATCCTCGCGGGGGTCCAGGCCAAGCAATTTAGAGGACTTCTTCTCAGTGCGTTAAATTTATGGGAAAGCCCGCTATGGCCCGAAAAGATCTTGAATTAAGCAAGTACTCATCGAACGTTGTATGTCGGCCTCCAAGCGTTGTTGTACGGGATGATCCTCATACTCTTCACCCTCCAACTGTCGAAAATGACCACCTCGTCACCGTCGCCTGGATCGAATCGAATTGAGTCATACCTGGGTCGTTCTCACAGCTCGTGTATGAACAGCACATCATGAGGTTTCGGGTTTGGGCTTTCGGGCTCGTATATGGTATGCAGTGTGGAAGAACGTAGCTGTCACTTGCCATGTCTAAGGATATGCAACGCTAAACATGTAATGTAAGGGCCTTATAATTAGAATAGGGTTACCATATACTTATAAGGAACCCACCAAAATAGTATAAACCCTAAACCCTAAACCAGGTAGTCATTAAGGCCCTATATCAAAACTGTCTTCCTCACAAACGCCCGTGGAGTGCCCAGTCCCCAGGAATTCCTGCTTGTTCCACTTGTGGCCACAGCTCGCACTTTCGTACTTGACGCGTCCCACATCCACTTTCACCTTAGGAAGGAAGTTTTAGTGGTTTTGGTATGGTCACTATAGTCCTTTTCAGGCTTTAAAATTTCAGCTTTTGATTTATAGGGTTTGTGGCTTAAATGAAACTGAAGAAAAGCTCTTGCTTGACTATGGCAACTTCCCACACTATGAACTCCTTAGCCTAAACCCTAAACCTAAACCCTAAACCTAAACCGTCACCGTCGCCTCAATCACGCAGCCGCTCTGGGAGTCATTGCCAATGGCCTTTGTCTTCGTCGCCTCTGGAGACCTCGTTGCACGTTTGTTAATACCTATAGTCTCCATTGTAGTTCCTTTTTTTGGTCAACCAAAATCTCTATTATAGGATCCTAACCATAAAACTGGTCAACCAAAAAAGGAACTACAATGGAGACTATAGGTACTGTTGATGGTATAGATCCTGCATTACCTGAAGGACCCTAAAATAGTTTAGGGTCCGTAAGGTAATGCAGGATTTATATCATCAACCGTAGGAGTTAGGGTTTGTTAGGGTTAGGCAAGTTTAGGGTTTAGGGTCATTAAAAAATCCGCGTGTGCAGCCATTACTTCAAATGTCGAATTTCCAAGAACCCTCTAGCCCGCACAAACCCTACAAAGGCCTAGGCACAATCCCTAACCTGAACGATCCTTAAAGCAAGTCCAGGGAACATGGCGACCCTAAACCCAAAACCCAAAACCCGTAAAGCAAGTCCAGGGAACATGGCGAAATAAATCGCTCCACCACAATGGCCGTCCGAGCCTGGTCGGAAGGCCGAGGCCACAATCAGCCTCGGCTTTGTCAGTGGTTTAGGGCTTCAGTTGCCTTAAAGGGAACTCCAGAAAGTTGGAATATGGATTAATGGTAGGATCCCCTATAATTTACCTTAAAAGGGGTTATGATATTGATATTCCAACTTTCTGGCTTCTACTGTACAAGATTCAGGGAGTTTGATCCAATCACATTGCACAGTCTCTATCCACTTGTAATAGCTGAAACTAGTCAATCCTCAAAAGGAGCCCAGCAACTTGCACGCCTTTGGGCTGGTCTGGTGGAAGGCGGTCACCTTTCATGTTGAGGATTTAGGCTTCAGTTGTCAAGTTCAATGCCAGGGTTAATTATTAGGGCTTTGTTGAACTGCAGGTGAACACATAACATAAAGCCATCGACTCGAGTTGTTTCATTTAATCTGCAGATTAAATGAAACAACTCGAGTCGATGGCTTATGTGCAGGACTAGAGGGTTTTTGTTACCTTCCTACTTCACCTTTCTCTCTGGAACGGAGAAGACAAACATTTTCCAAATAGGCTCCCGCTGCCAGCCCTCGGCCGTTTCCGTTGTTGGCTGGCGGAGGTGATGGCCTCACTGATGGGTTTTGGACAAAAAGCACCTCCTTCAGGACTTACGATTGGCCCTTATGCGACCTTTCAAGAAGAGCCGCTAAACTGCTAAACCCCAGAATTCTCCTTACGGGACCTGAATAGGAGCACTGAGGGGATGACTGCCACTGTGGCGGCGGTGGCGGAGCCGGAGCGCGTCGACGCCGACTCCGGCGCCGGCGGCTGTCTGGCGGCGGCCTCTGCCAGCCACACCTCCTGGGTTGTGAAACTCTAGTCTGCAGGGTTCGGGTTTAGGGTAAGCCTAAATCGAAACCCTGATGGCCCTAAACCCCTGAACCCCTGAGCCCTAAACCCAACATGAGGCCTCACTACCATGTCCAAAGATAAGGGTTACTATAAGGGCTACTACAACGGTTTCATTCGATGGATGAATTTCTGCAATGATGACGGAATTCCATTGTTAGTTTAAGGAGTCTCGGTCATACTTTACTGCTTGCCCGGCAACCTTCCATGATGGTTTCACGCGTGCGCTGGACTCCATAAATGCAAGATGAACCTAAAATCTGGTTTAGGACTTGCGCGTTGGATAGGGGATTACAAGGTTGGGCCGTACGGGGTTGAAGCAGCCCTGAGAGCGCCGTGACCTGGGAGGTGGGTAACAGTACTCCGCTGTGAGTAGTAGAAGGTTTGTATATGGTTCAAACTGTAACGGTATTGGGTTTTTAGGACTTAGGGCTCAGAGGGTTTAGGGTGTAGACCAACACATAAACAAAAGTATTCCAGATCCAAGAGTCTTGCCATAGTCCCAACAACAGTTCCGGTACCGAGTGCAGCCACTGTTGCATTGGCAGTAGAACTCAGGGTGGTAGCCTCGGTTCTTGCTACGGAGCTCTTCTTTGTGTTATCATCACCGGGATCTGCAAAAATGGTCATTTACCTGTATAGTAGATTTAAATGATATGGCTTCCCTGTTATATCAACGTAGACCTAAACGACACAAGTTCCTCAACTCTAGAGCTCAGCAGCTGCCGCGGCAGCCGTAGTACCAGCAGCCAACCCAACCAGATGCTGATTTGAAGGATGCGACTGGGGTGAAGTTGCTCGGACCTTGGGTTCCAGACCCTTTAGAGTAGAAGCCAGAAAGTTGAAATATGATTATCGTAAACCCTTTATGGTAAATAATAAGGTATCCTACCCTGAAACCATATTCCAACTTTCTGGAGTTCCCTTTAAGGGTTTAAGGGTGGTTTAGGGTTAGTTGTTTCGGGCTTCAGGGTTAGTGGTTTAGGGCTTTAGGGTAAGTGGTTAGGGGCTTTAGTTTGTGTAGTAGTGGGTCAGGAGTTTCGGGGTTTAGGGGTTCGGGGTTTAAGGGTTTAAGGGTTTAGGTTCTTTTGATTTACCTCCCTGTTAGTTACAGGAGTCCTCATCTCCTGTGCCAAACCCGTGGAAAGCTTGAAATATCCTGGTGGCCGAACATAGGGGCCTTAACAATTAGACTAGGATTGTGGGGCCCTTATACTATAATTGTAATAAGGACCCCCCCAACATAGTATAGGCAATTGTTTAGGCCCCTGTATTACCGAGGGACTTGTGCCGGCTTCCATGTGGACGGAGACATTCGGGGGCAGCAAAGGTTGAGCCTCCAAAATTGGGAACGCTGCTTCCGTGATTTCCAGCGAACCATTGGCGCTGCTCGTCTGGTTTGCAACTCCTTGATTCTGAAAAAAACATATGTAGTTTATTATCGCAGAATCTCGCTTACTAATGCCACCAAAAACTACCCCACACCCCGAGTTAATCGAGACTCCAAGTTCTCTTGGGCCTGTACCCCGACCCCTAAGCCCGAGGAACCCTCAACCCGTAAACCCCTCAAGCCATAACACACTAAACCCCAAACTCCTAAACCCCTAAATCCATAACACACTAAACCCCAAACTCGTAAACCCTAAACCCCTAAACTCCCAAACCCTCAACCCCTAGCCCCTAAACTGCACAGCCCAGGCACTTAGGCCTTTACCTGGGCCCGGAGAGGAGCTCAGACTCTGACTTTGGTTCCCTGCACTCAGGTTTCCCTGCCGGAGGTTCCGACTCACCTGGAAGTTGAGGGGTTTAAGGTTTGTAGGGTCTGGGGGTCGAGGGGTTTAGGGTTTAGGGTCTAGGGGTTTAGGGGTTCAGGGGTTTCGGGGTTCAGAGGTTCAGGGGTTTAGGGGTTTGGGGGTGTAGGG